ATATTATCGTCTCTTTTTTGCATAACCGGACATGTTGACATGAGCTAGTTTTGTGCTGTTTTTTGATATTTTTTTTTTTTTTTTTTTTTTTTTTTTTTTTGCCACAAAAGGGAAAAAAGAAGAAGACCCCAAAATCTCATTTACTAGTACTTTAAGAAAGGTGTCTAAGTCCTAACCTGGTTTGTTCTCTGGAAATTTATACCTGGGTGCAAAGTTGAAGGCATTTGTGATTTTTCAAAGGAAACATATGCCTACTACTGTCTTAATGTACCTACTTGGATAACTAAAGTGCTTTACTAGGTTTTATTCATGATAAAAACAGTAAAAAAAATTTCATCATATTGAAATATTTACTTCATGCAGGATAATAGCTTTGGGTTTTTGCTCAAAGATTCCTAAAATATTACTGTTACTCTCTTAAGTTTTATCTTAATAATCATTGGCACCTTAAATGCTAGAGGCTAAACCAAGCAAGATGTCACATGCCTATAATCCCAGCACTCAGGGAGCTGAAACAGGAACACTGAAAATTCAAGACCAGCCTGGGCAACTTCGTGAGTTAGTGAGACTCTGTCTCAAATAAAAAAACAAAAAGTGCAAGGACCCTGGGTTCCATCCCCAGTTCAGACATTTTAAAAAGAAACAAAATAGGCTAAAAGTACCAAGAATTTTGTAAGGTTTTTGTAAGGAGTAGCTCAAGTGAGATGGTCACTGATCAGCGGTGACTTCCTTGGCAAGTCAGGTCCGGTCACAGCCCACTTCTCTCAGAGAGGGGACCTGACCCAGAGTGGCTACATTCTAACATGAACCAAAGTGCTGGGAACACACTTTCAAAAGCAGCTAGTTCCTAAAATATGGATGTGCCGATGACAGAGTTTCAGTGTTAAATAGTGAATGCTATTTGAGCCACTTTCTCCAATTCCTCTTTTTTTGTTTTTTGAAGACAGAGTTTCACTATGCAGTTTAGGCTGGCATGAAACCTGACTTTGTAGCCCAGGATGGCCTTGAACTCACAGCAGTCCTCCTGCCTCAGTGTCTCAAGTACAGGGATTACAGCCGTGCACCACCACACTTGGCCTCTGATTCCTCTTGATACACTGTTCTTGGGCTATTTTCTTGAGAAAGGCTAATATTGAGAGGAAATTCCTAAAATGAGGAGAAGTATAATCAACCTTAGGTTATTTGAAGTAACTAGGAACTGAGGCAGTACAGACTAGTGCAGCCCTAACCAGGGCAGGAGGGAAGCTCTCTGGGGTCCCTTGAGAACCACATGCTGCAGGTGATAAGAAGCTATTCATGACTTCCTTTGGTCACCTCGTTTTACAAGTGTTTGTCAAGTATTTGCCACAGCCTCCTTGTTCTTGCTCAAACAAGGACACAGGAGTGTGTGTGTGTGTGTGGCCAGTGTCATACACACGCCCAGCACTTGGTGGGTGATTGTCTTCATTTTTCTGCTAGTTGCCTGAACAAGCATCCCTTGAACTGCTGTGTGTGCCACAGGCCTGTGAGTGACAGGGTAGGTAGAGGACGCCATTTCCTGGCTGTGGAAGAGGAAACTGAGGCAGCCCCTGCCTCCCGTCTCTTCATAGCCAAAGTCAGATTGTCCCCTCCAATGTGCTGCTAGTTGGCCACTGTACTCACACATGGCCCAGGAGCCTGGTTCAGTAATCTCTGTGCATTGATGGTGATGCTGCTGCTGACCCTGGGGTAGTCTGCTTCAGACTGCCTTTCAGGGAGTCTGCAAAAGGTCACTGGCAGCATAAGACTCAAGGCAGGGCACTTTGTTCAAGACAGACGAGACGTGGCTACCAGCCTGTGGTTTCCTCTCAGTGTCTTGGACGGTGACTGACCCCAGTGAGTACTCAGTGAAGACCATTTCAGCCCATTAAACTACCCATCAGAAAAGGGAGACTGCAGAACGTGCCTGGAAGTGGGGAGTTTGGTTAAACACCCTCTTGGCACATTTGGGGTTTTACATTTTTCAGCCGTTTTCTTTCACCTTTCACTGATTATTCAATCCTCCAGCTTCTGAGGCTTTAAACCTAGCGTGTCTGTACCTATTCACACTCTCGTCTGTATCCCTTGTTCCTTCTTTCCTCTAGATGTCCTTAGAGACCAGCGATTCCTAGATGCTTCCTTGACTTCCTCCCTCCCCTGCACAGCCCTAGGAGAGCCGGCAAGGGTCTTTGCTGGGGCACTGTGCTGTCTGCTAGTGAGCGTGTGGTTCAGCCTTTCTCCTGTGAGCCTACAAGGGGACTGTGCCTTGTTCTCTTATCTCTGCAGCCACCCGATGACAGGCATTCAGGATATACCACCAGCTAAACCACCAAATCCCAGCTCTACTAGATGCCAGTCCTTGAGGAAGAGTAACCACCCCTGCTGTTCATGCAGGGCCCTGTTACGGGCCCTGCCCTGGCTGCTACACATGGAGGTCCACACTGAAGCCTCAGACTCCACCATTGCATTTATAGGTGGTGCAACCAAGGCATAGAACACTAACGACACAGCTGTTCAGTGTCAGGGTTTAGACCCAGGCCATTTGGCTCCAAAAATCACATTTAGTACAATATATTTTGCCCCTAGTTTCTGTTTTCCAGCATGATTTTGATATGGGTGGAAAAAAATGAGAAGGAATTGCAGAATTTTAACACATACCAACTCATTCCTGTCTGAACAAAGAGAGGTGGGCTTGGAGGGGAGGGAGATATGTGGATCAAAGTGAAGTTTATAGCACATTTAGAAAAAGAAAAGGGTTTTTAAATTTTCTTTAGACTTTGTTCTTTGTATTGGTATTGTAATAACAAAACAATTTAGACTGAATTTTCAATCAAGAGATGGTGAGTACTTGAAGTACTATTGAGTACTTTTGTACTATTTTACTTTTATAGTTTTTTAGGTATTTGCAGATATTTAACAAGATTTTTTTTTTTTTTTTTTTTTTTCTCTTTGCACTTCCAAAATACCACAAGGATCTTTGACCTACAGAGTCTGTGGAGGCTTTCACACACCTGTCTCATTGTGGGTGGACTTTTTAGGAAGCTGATATACTGCGGGATTCCTCACATCCTCAGTGCCTGTGCCCGCCAGGACCATTTACCAACTTCAGGGGGCCTTGAACAGGGCGGCGATGGGCTCCCTGGTGAGCTCCTCTGTTAGATGGTGGGCTCTCTTAGGTGGGAGCGACCAAAGGATGACTTGGTTTCATACATTTTTATCCTGCATACTTACTGCAGTAGACATCTAGTAAACGCCTACAGTTTAGTACACATGTGAGAGTCATAGAGTGGCCTGAGTATTTATGCTACTGAATGACTGGCCATCGTGCTAATAAACTAGGAAGCCCGCCAAAAGTAGTGTGTAAAAGGAACTCTCAGCAGTCACCCACATCACGTGAGGGAATGGGCGTGAGATTGCTTTGTGGAGCCACAGGTCTTGCAGTTTTAGGTTCAACAGTACATTTATTTATTTATTTAGAGACAGGGTCTCACTATGTAGCCCAGGCTGGCCTTGAACTCATAGCAGTCCTCCTGCCTTAGCTCCTGAGTGCTGGGATTACAGCATCTACCACTACACCTGTCCTCATAAGTATGATTAACCCTAGAGACAAAACATGCCATGAAATACCAGAAAGCACAGGCGGATGTTTATAAGTGCACATAGACTCAGAGTCTTTACGTAGACTATTCCATAAAATAAAGACCTGATAAATTTGAATCAAAGAATTTTCACAGAAATGTTAGGGCAGGGAAACTTTGCCTGTTGGATTCATCCTTTGGTAGTTTAATAGACAGTGGCAGGGAGAAAAATTTTAGACAGAACGTTCATATTTACTAGGAAAGTCATTGTTAGAAGGACTTGACAGAAATATTCTTCATGTTCCGAAAGAAGCAATCAAAGGCAGAGCTGTCATGCAGCTGGCGTGAGGCGCTCAGCTGGGCAGTAACTGAGCCGGTCAGAGCCCGATGCTAGAGCCCCAGCTCCTAAACGTCGTACTGCATTCAGAGTGACAGCAAACAGTGAAGACCTTACCAAAAACAACAACAGTAGCAAAAACCAGCACCCATCATTAGAGGAAGTCTCCTAACGGCAATAGTTTCACCAAGAGTCTGTCACTCCCATGCTCGACCCAGATTAAACCCTGGCAAATCACAACATAGCATTCATGGTTTGGTGATTTTTTTTTGAGGCAAGAAGTTGTAGAAAAAGTATGAATAGATAAAAACTAAACAACAGGGCTCTCTTTTTATCTAATTAATAGTTTATCTTTAGAATTAAATTATTTGAGAGGCAATGAAGCTCAGACTCTTTGCTGGTAGAAGGGTAAATTGGTAAAATGTTTTAGTAAGCAACAGCAACAAATATATATATATATATACACACTGCCTTATGTCCAGAGCTTTCTAAAATATACCCTTTGCTCCAGGAATTCCATTCATGAAATTCTGTCCTGAAAAATAATCTTAAATACAGAAAAGAGGGCCAGGGAGATAGCTCAGCAGCATAAGCACTTGCCTGGCAAACGCAGGGTCCTGAATTCAATCCCCGGCACCAAAAAACAAAATACCAGAAAAGACTTACGTATACAGATACATAAAGGTATGTTTCATAGTAAAATGTAATAACTTTTATTTTAAAGTGTGCTTTCTATCATATGTAAAACACATTCAGATGCAGAACACTTCATTTTAAATAACCTCATTTCTGTTTCTTCACATTAGAGTACCCTGAAATCTTAGCTGTACATACTAGTTTATACTTGAGTGGGTTTTTTGTCATTGTGCATCCACACCAAAGCACACAATGTGAGCCCTGGTTTTTGGCAGTATTTTGGCATCACCCGTTCCTTGCTTTCACCCTGCTTCATTATAGCAAATCAGTACTGCCAGCAAGCAGAGAGTCTTCACTGCAATGATCATATAATGTTTCTTAGAAATATTTATAAGTGATCCTTAAAGTTTTCCCCGAATCTGTCGTCAAAGCACAGATCGTGGTACTTACACAGCAGCAGCTTGTCCGTCTCGGTGAGCAGCAGTTAGTATTTCCACAGACTGGAGTCAGTTGAGCTTGGCATGTTGCTTTAAGAGTCACTGCAGACGCCCTTTTATGGTGTCGCCTTTTCTTCTGTCACCCTGTGTCTGGCTGTAGTACTGATTGGTTAGCCTCACGTATGCGTGTGTACTTTAAAAATAAAATGGGAAGTGAAATTTTTCTCATACTGATTTAAAAAAAAAAAAACTATCCAAAAGTCCCTTGGAATTTATGAACTGTTAGTGTGTATGGAACTTTATAAAATTTTGCGTGGATTTAAGTAGTATCAAACAATCTTTAAAGCAAAAAAGCTTTAAGGAAGAAAGAAATCATAGCATAGTGTCTAATGATTTTATATTGACATTCTGTGTAAATGTGTAGGTTTTTTTTTTTTTAATGCTTTGAGAAAAAAATGTTAAGTTTGACGATGTTATCTACTTGGAAACTTGGTATCAGGAACAGTTAGCGAGTGTGCATCTTATCGTCGGCTCATGACAAAGAGCAGGTTTCTGTGGTGAGTGGAGATGACACTCTGGCAGTGTAGAGACCTGCTAGAGGCCACCTGGCCCACTCACTGGCTGCCAGGAAGTGTAAGTGGTGGGGAGAGTTGAAGGGGGACACTTAGGAATAGGGCCCAGCTTTTGGGATTAGGCAGAGGAAGAAATTGCTACTGCCCACCTCACTCCACTCACCTTGTATAGGTGATTCAGTTTAAATCAGCAGTGTTACCTGGTTGTCAAATGCAATTTTTTTTGTAGGCTTAGTTACTAGCAATGCTGTGTGCCAGACTGGAGGTGCTGCTTACCCCCACTGAGGACTGATGTGGCCACTCACAGTTGGTGCTGGCGACCGGGCAGTGAGGGCCCTTGGTCGTGGCTCTTAGGAGAAATGGTAGGGTAAGCTGAGACCATTAGGCACTGTGGCAATTGGATCATTATCCCCATGCATTTGGGAACTCACCAAAGATTTGGATTGCTTCTTTCTCTGTTCCCAACTCTGGAGAGTAGAAGGAGGGCCAGTAAGAAAATTACTGGGGATCATTTTCAGATCAGAAGGCAGAAGTCATTCCCAAAAGTTGGAGTTATCTTTTTAATGGAGCATTCTATTTCTTATTTAGATGCTTGGGTAAAATAGATGATGATGTTGAATGACACTAGGGAATTGAATCATTTGGTAGGAATTTGTACAATCAAAGCTATATGGCAAGGGGCCAGGGAGATGGCTCAGTAGAATAAGTGATTGCCTAGCAAGCACAAGGGCGTGAGTTCAATCCCTGGCTCCACCCAAAAAAAAAAAAAGCTGTATGGCTCCAGAGCCCTTTTTACTCCTGGGTTCTGTAAAAATGTTCACATGGCTTTAGCCTGTTGGTGACGTCATTAAGTTCTTCTAAGCACTGAAATGCTGAAGATTTGTGAAAGAACATTTTCAAACTAATGAGTAAGCAATAAAGGGGTTATTGAAGTGGTCACCAAGATAATCCCTTGGGGGAATACAGAGATTGTATGATTTGGTGGAGGAACATGGCATAACATTGTAGGACCAGTTCATTTAAAGTGTGAGTGCAAGCTGTTGGTGTTGCTCAGTGGCAGAGTGCTTGAATAGCGTGTGTGAGGCCCTGGCACAAAAACAAAACGGGGCAGCGGCAGTAACAAAAACATGCGTTAACATTGCGGAGACATTTTGCAATTGGTTGAAAGGCCATGAGGGTGGGATTTGGTGGCTTTTAATTTTGGAAATAGTTATTATTATGCAAAATATGAGAGGCTCAACTAGTGTAAATATCTGTTCTAGCAAACTTGATCTGTCCTGGTTTGGGTAATTTAGTAGTCAAGTGTACAAAAAGAGGTAAATCCTGCAGATGCCATTGAAGTTTCATGTGAAAGAATTTCCTGTGCTTGTAGACCTTCATTTCATTGTTGTTGAAAATTACACTTACAGGGTTTCTTCAGCTGTGACTGTGCTATAAAGCCAGAGTCGTCCTTTTCTGTGTGTGAGGGAAGGTGGGTGTCTGTGCTTTTAGCTGAGAGTCTCATTTGCCCACCGCGGTGAGCACGTAGCAGGCACTCAGTCACCATTAGCAATGCCAGGAATGAAGGAACACTTTATAGCCTTTTTTTTCCTGTTTGTACTTCTAACCTCATATGCTCAAGATGAGACTTCCAGAAGTTACCTACTCACACTGAGGAAAAGGTCAAACTGAATTACTCTTGGCAGTGTAAAGAACAGATGTTTTCATGAAATAAGGAAAAGAGAAAAACTGGTCAGTGACTAATAACATTTTGGTATTTTGTGAAGTCTATGTGTATAGAAATAGCAACAGAAATTTTCTACAAAACAACCTGTATAATTCTGGTGTAAAATGTGTGATTTTGTATTATGCATCTATGTGGTTGAGTATTTAGTCATCATTTAAAAATATACAGATTAATAACCTCTAAGGGATTTTTAAACTTCTCCTATTGGTGTATAAGATGTAAACTGTGGTCATTAAAATTCCTGTCAATATTTTTTCTTGGTTTATGTTGAAATGTAACCTCAAACAAGAACACTGCTTCAGGTTATTTAATTATAACATCACTAGTAATACCTTCTTGCTAAATGTAAACGGAAGGACTTCTATGAACTTCTTCATAGAATGAACCTCAGAGAAGTTCAAGTTGAGCAAGAGGGCCCGATGCAGTTGGCTAAGCAAAGGATGACTCTGTGACTTCTAGGTGATCCCCAAGCCTTATTTTAAGTATGTGTATGAGATTGTATGTTTTGATCTCATTTAAAATAATAAAGCAAGTAAAGGAACATTTTTTTAAAAAGTGAAAGTTATATTCTGCTATAGTCTTCTACTGTTTTAAAAGGAAAATTGTCTTGCAAATATTTCCTGGGTGCCTCTGTAGTGTTAAGCTCGGCTGTAGAGTGAGGAGATAGCAGTGACCAGAGCAGTCCAAAATCCCTGTGCTGTGGAGCATCCGCCCTCACTGGGGAGGGCGGTGACACACGAGTGGGTCACACAGGACATGGAAGGAGATTGTAGGTGCACTGGGGAAGGAGGGCCAGGACAGGAAACGGAGTACAGCGTGGCTGTCTATGTGCCTCTGTCAGTGTGTGCGCACGCACGCGTGCTCATGTGCCTGCACACACACGTAGGGTGGCCAGCGAGGGCTGCTTTGAGTAGTTGACTAGTGTAGGGGTGGGGAAATGTACCTTGTAGTCTTGTGACGGCAGTGGCCTTCCTTACGAGGCGAGGAGCCATTGGAACGTTGTAAGCCCAAGAATGTCTTAACTTGTACTTTCAAGAAAAGAAAGCACAGCAGTTTAATCAACTGTTTTTGAGTTTAGAATAGGCCAAAAACAGTTCTTTTGTAAAATTGTGCTTTAATTTTTTTTTTTTTTAATCTAACACTGAATGTGGATTCTATGTAGAAATCTGCAGTAAGCGTTAAGGGATGCAAGTAAGTAAATCATAGTGCTTTCTCTTAGCATTAGTAATCTAGTGGGATATTTGTGAAATCCTTAAATAGTTCATTTAAATGCAGGTCAAGAAGGAGAATTATTTTTTGCTCCAAGTATAACAAGGTCCTAGCTGTGCTAAGCACAGAGCTGACGCCTGGAGACACAGCAGGATTCGTCCCCCCTGTCCTCCTGTGTGCCCCCTGTGGGAGGCAAGTGGCAGTACAAGCCAGCCGCTCCTCAGCGCCGCGGGCCCCAGCCTCCTGGGCCCATGCAGATCTGTGCTCCGGTCACTCGTGCAGTGTGGGCTCACTGGCTTCCCCTGTCTGCAACTTGCTGCATCCTTATCCGTACCTAGTAATGTTGCTTCCACTTACCGTGTGTGTGTGTGTGTGTGTGTGTGTGTGTGCGTGTGTGTGCGTGCGCGTGCAAGCACACATGTCTAGCTATGAGGGGTAGGAGAGAGAGAACATACTACATGGTGTATGTGTGATGAGGCAGATGGGCAGGAAGACAGTGGTGGGAAAGGGATAAGGGAGTTCGGCTCTTACCTGTTTCATGGCAGTCTTGAAATTAGGATGCTGAAGGCTATGGGAGGAATGATCGTAAACACTGGAGTATGTGACAGATACCTGTCTTCAGGCACAGGGCCTGGAAAAGCCTTCTGTTCTGCAAAGAGAGTAATGGTAACTGTTAAAGAGGTGGATTGGAGAGAGCAGGATGCTTGGGACTCTGAGCACTTCAAGGTTGTGGTATCAAATTGAGGTTTTGAGCCAGAGTAGGGGACTGGCAGCCATAGTAGGTCTGGCTTTGTTTTCCTAGTTGAAGCCATGGAGGGTGTTGAAGGCTGCTCAGGGTGAAACTGGAGCCAAGAGAAAAGACTGACATGGAACCCTGGGGTGAGGGTAAGGTGTAAAGTCACTGGAAACCAGAAGAAACAGGGTCAGGACGCAGGAGGAGAGCGCCGGAGCGAGAGCAGCAGACAGCGTGCAGCGCTCCTGACGCGATTGCCCCTCTGCCTGAGCTGAGGCTTTTGGCTTTGACCACGACCAAGCCTCATGTTTGTTGCTTTTGGTTTGTCTAGGTTTCTGTCAATAGCTTTTAAGTCATTCATGTGCGAAAACATTGTGGGGACTTTAAATTCCCTCACAATGCCTCCCAATAAGTAGAAGCTGAACCACTTCTTTGCAGTGGTTTTGAAATAGCAAAAGGATAAGCTAATCAGAGTTTCTATAGGTAAAGTGTAACAGGTAATTGCAGCTTCTTTTGCAGTTTGCATGTTTGGAAGCCAACTTGTGTATCTAAGACTATGCCTTCAGACTCGATAGATGATGAGCAGTGTTACTTCCGATCTCCGTGTGCCATTGGTATTGTGAATTCAACCTTATGCAATTGTGATTTTTCTCTATTTGTTTGCATAGCTTGGCACCTGTGTTTGCTCTGTTTGTACCATTTTACTGCTCCATACCGAGAATCCAAGTGGCACAAATTCTGGGCCCGTTATCCATCACAAACAAGACATTGATTTATATATTGGGACTACAGGTACAGTATGCCTTTTATGTTCACATTTCTTTAAGTAACCCTTTTTCTCATTTTTGATTTTTTAAAAAATTTTTTCTCATTTGATCACCTTGAAAACAATGCTTTTTCCCATAAGTTTGGCTTCATGATCTATATCAAATGTTTAGAGGAAGTGTTACAGAACAAGAACATCAAGGTGTGGAAGGTACTAGAATACTTTCATAGCCTTTAGAAATCTGATAAGCGCTTTCACTGTAATTTTATCAGCGGAAAATATTTTCACTTAATTGTATGATTGCATGTAAATACTTGTAAAAGTCATAGCTTGAAGTAGAAACATGAAAACAATGAAGGTAGAAAAATCAACTTAGTGACTACAGTGTCAAAATTTAACTTATTGTCACAAATAAAGCTGGAAGAAAAAACACAGTATGCTTTATTAATCTGAGCTTCGGGGTTTTATGAAGCATTATGAACAGCATTGTTTCTGTGTTTGCCAGACATGAGGTAGCATTACTGTCTGCTACATGGTCTGCTGTGAAGACCACTAGACTCCTCCCTGCCTATCTTGTAGCCTGAGCCCAGTGTTTCTCTTCAGTGACATTCACTGAGTATTGATTTCTCCCTGATGGGCTCCAAGCCCTGAGCTAGACACACACCAGTTTTCAGTTTTCTCTCTGTAGGATGTTTCATTTCTCCTCTCACAGCTTTTGATGTAAAGTTTTATTCTACAGTTTCTGTGGTGCCATGTGTAGCTTGGCCTTTCGATCCACTAGCTACTCTGAAAGCATTCCTTATCCCACACGTAGCAAACCGGATGCCAGTGTCCCTTGAAGATGCCTCCTCCCTCCCCTTTTAACCTTTAGCATTTCCTCTAACTTTTCTCATCTGCTGTCACCCTTATCAATGGCTCATCTGGGGTGGCTGTTTCCTTACCACTTTTACAACCGTTTCTCATGAAACATGTTTATTCTTCCCCTCTCGGTACATATACTTTTACTCCCCTCCAACCAAATACTCTATTTCTGTACTTTATTCTTATGGCTGTGGCAAGCTTTTCTTTTTTTCTTTTTCTTTTTCCTTTTTTTTTTGCCCCCTAAGTTCTATGCCAGAGGTCCTCTGGGATGGTGAAGCACCCTGGACCTGACACCAGAAGCCACCTTCTAGTTGCAGTGTAGCCCTCGCTGGCTCAGAGTCTTAGGTCCAGTTCTGGCTCTGTGGTGGCCCTCACTAGCTGTAAGGCCTGGGCCAAGTCTTTGAACCTCTTGGAGCTGCCTGTCTATATAGTTTCTTTTAACTTTAAAGTTATATGCAATTGAAAGGATGAAAAACATTGCTTTCTTAGTTATGTGAATTCAGTGTGGCACATGGGAAGTCTTTGGGCCCATGCAGACTTTGGCTTAATGACATGGTCTGTCTGTCACTCGCTTTGTCTTTTATTCTGAGTCCCTACTTCCCTACCTATAAAGTGGAAATATAATGTCAATGTTACAGGACTGTTATAAGGTTTAAAGATAATAGAATAGGACATTTAGTGTATGGTGAAAGTTAAAAAGAGCTAAGCCAAATGGTTCTCATTATTAATAATTTGTTTCTGTACCTATGCCTAGTAGTTTTTCTGGTATTATAAATGTATTATTGTGGTAGGAGTTTTTTTAAGTAAGGGACAAAAACAGTAACATGTTTTATCTCTTACAGAAAGGGGGCTCCAGTTGGATAAAGAGGAATTGCATTTAGTGTTGCTTCTGCAGGATTACATGGCCCACAGTGAAAATATCCCTTAGCCCTGCCAAAGACAAAGCAAACGCTACCACTGCAGATGCTTTTATCAAAGTGATAGAATTTCCTAAAATTGTCTCAGTATTTCCCATATCTTTGTGAGGTAGAAGTCAGTATCCAAAAGTAGAACCAGGGGTATCTTGTTAGTTTCTGGATGAAATCTAACCCTTGGCCTGAGTGGCATCCAGGATTCTTCTTGGCCTACCCAGCCTTTGTTCCCAACCTCCCCTCCGGAGGCAAGTGTGACTGAAGTTCTGTCCTCTCTCTGCATTTCTTCCTCTGGGCTTCATTCATGTTCCTGTGCCTTCCTTCTACCTCAACTACTGGAATCCAAGGACACTGGATGGGTGGATGGGTGGATGGGTGGATGGGTGGATGGATGGATGGATGGATGGATGGGTAGATGGGTGGGTGGATGGATAGATGGGTGGACGGATGGGTGGATGGATGGATGGGTGGATGGATGGATGGGTGGATGGCTTTAGTCCTTACCAGAAGAGCCAAAACACTTGTCACAGAACATATGCACATCAGATGGCTTGAGAATTGGCCCTTCGTGCCCTGTGCTGGAGGCTGTGGTGAGTGGAACATATGTGAGGTGTGGCACCTGTCCTTGAGTCTAGCAGTGATGACAGCTCATATCCTGTCAGGCCCATGCAGAAACACAAGGGCCTCAAAGTCTGAAGGAAATCAGTTCTGTAGAATGATTGGCTCCTTGCTAGTGTGTGAGGCCTAGAGTGGCGAGCACAGGGCCGAGGAGTCAGATCCCAGGCACAAGCCCAGCTGCTCCATCTGAGACTGTGTAGCCTCGAGCAACTGCACAGCCACCAGGTCTCTCCCACTTGGAACAATTCACAGAACTTTCCCCGTGGGTGGTGACTTCAGTTTATGAAAGGCTTGCAAGCAGTGCCCAGCTTGTAGAAGGTGATAGCTAGTTTATTATTTTAATTATTTTCAGAAGAGAACCACAGCAGTACATTTGTCTAATGGTTCTCTCTCTCTCTCTTTTTTTTTTTGCGGAATCGGGATTGAACTCGGGCCCTTGCACTTGCCAAGGAAGTGCTTATTCTACTGAGCCGTCTCCCTGGCCCCTCATCTTTGTTATTAACATGGCCCAAACCTCAGAGCCAGGGTGGAGAGTACACAGGGAGCAGCAGCTGGAGCTCTTGGCCAGCTGAGCCAGTGCCAAGCGGAGCCTGCCAGCCTCCTGGGCCTGTACCCCGGCTCCCTCCCCTGTCGTCACTCTGCTTTCCCTGCATCCTGGGGATGTATGCAGAGCTCTAAGGTCTTGTCCAGTGCTGTGTTAGCAAGAGCAGTCAGCCTGGTGGCCTGCTTGAGTCTCCTGCTCTTCCTCTGTGATAAGAAGCCCGGAAGTCCACACTCCACGGTGAACACCAGGCACAAGTCATTTCTTCCATGTCAGGATACTTTGAGCTCCCTTAGGATTTTTTTTTTAACCCTAGGCACAACACTGATAAAAATGATTTGAAAAACAAAGGGAAAGATTTCATGAGATGTAATTACTGTTGTCCTTAATTTTTATTGGTAGTTTCCTCATTTGGGGTGAACCAAAAGGAAGCTATCTACACCTACATCATGGATCTATCTGTTAGAAGGATTCTTCCCATCAAGATTTAGAGAAACAATGATAAAAAATTAATGTGTGGTGTGTGCCTGGAATCCCAGTCCTTGGAAGGCTGAAACAGGAGGACTGCCACAAGTTCCAGCCCAATCTGGGCTCCATAGTGATTTCCAGAGTCACCTGAACTACATAATGAGACCCTGTCTTACAAAACAGAGTGAAACAAAAAATGAAATTTAAATGAGAAATGTATAAATACAGATATTATAGGTTATTACTTAATGCCAAGCATTGGATGGGATGATCAATACATATTTTTTTGTTGTTAATTCTAATAATTTCTTTAATTTGTAGTGTTTTGTTACTTAAGTCATTTAGTGTCTATTCATAAACAAAAATGTGCTTTATATTCACTTATATTTCTTTGCCTAAGTATGGGCGAGTTTCAATCATTGTGTTTTTAATTAAAAGCTGAGATATGGGTTAAAAATTATATATTATTTTCTTTTAGATAACAATTGATGTTGATTAATTTGCTATTTGCTTATATATTTTATGTAATAAGTACTTAATATAAGTGATCATAACTATAGTTGTATAAAAATAAGTATGCTGTGACTGGTGATTGAATTTGAATTTCATTTTTAGTTGCTTTTTTTTTTTTTCTTTTATAGCTTTTCACCTCTGGTTCCTACATCTGGATTGTAGCCATAAGTGGACTTGTAAGTGTGATTTTCCCCACCCCCAATTCCCTCTTTCTCCTGGAAAAACATTAGGAAAATGCTGTGCTCAGGCTGTGGGTACTCCCTGTTTCTGCTGTCTGCTCTTGTCAGGCCTGACTCAATGTAACTTCTTTAGTTACTAAAAAGGGCCCATTACAGAGAGAATCAACACAAAGTAGCCTTCTTTCTCTCATTTTTGACATAACTTTGATGAAAGTTTTAGCTGAGTTTTTTTTGTCAGAGTTGTTATGAAATTATATTTGTAACCTAATTTATAATGAGACACACACACATAGCCGGCAGAGAATGAAGCTAGACCTCCTCAGAGTACAAAGAAAAGATGCTATTGGGTGAGCAAAGAAAGCGAGGCTGGCTAGAAACTTGTGGGCAAACCTGGCTGCAGATTCATCAGGTCTTCAGAGAGAGAAGAGAGGAATTGCTGCAGGATCTGGTCCTTCTAATGTGGCTAGGGGTTCCTCCTCTCTCCCATGCCCACGCTACTTTATTATATTTAATAGTAAGCATTTGCCTTAAACTTCTTAGGAGGTATTTTAAAAGAAGTTAAGAGTGTGAAGTTGAGTTTTATTTTTCATGACCTGAATATGAACCCCCAAATTCATTAAAATAAATTAATAGTGTATACAGAGTATACTTATTCTTGGAAACAACTATGAAAATTACTCAGTAGATTTATAGAAATATATATATTATCAAAGGGAATAAGTCAACTGTTACTCGTCATTGTTTCCTGCATGAGTGGCCATGCTTTGGGCCAACATGGCGTTTTTTAAGCCCGTTCATCCCTCTCTTCCCTTGATGTCGCTTTCACACCTTTTCTGTGTTCACTGTTTTCATCAGGAACTTGACCATCCATTCCCCTCAGTTGCTGCTGCGTTTCCCTCCATAGTTCTGACAATCAAAGTTACTTTGTTTCTTTCTCTGTAAAGTATTTGCTCATCTCCTCAGGATCATGAAGCTGAGCCTCTGGCTGAGGCCTTCAGAGCAGTGAACACTGGTTCCTGAAGCTCCTCATGGCTTTAGGACATCCTGGCATTAATCTCTTGGCCAGGGCACGGCTGCCAGGCTTCCTTAGTGTGAGCTCATTACCTCTTGAACTGTCATCTCCACTGCCAGGACAGAGCCCTAGGACCCCCCATTGGAAGCTCTTGTTTTGCAGAGGAGAGCTCCATGAAGAGGCTCTGTCTCTTGCATGTTGTATCAGGCCGTAGAGGTGATGACTCTTAGTCATTTTCTAATACTCTCCTAAAATGCTGAAGAATTTTAGATCTACCTTATTGTATCCTATTTCGTTTTGTTAGTTTACTAATAACATTTACTCTCAATATCCGTTCCACTCATTATGCAACTCAGTTGTTTCAGAATGTCACATTTTCTTTCTTTATTCTGTTTTTAGAATTCTGATTTTAAATCAAGTGGTTGCCTTACCTTTTATTTTGTGACATTCAACAGTTAGAACTAAAGATCGTATTTTTTTTTTTTTTTATCTCTTTGTAGTCTTTTTAGAATCCAAAATATGCATGCTGCTGTCCTGGTCAATTCTAGTATATGTTTTTGATAGTAAGGTGTTTGTTTTGACTTTTTAAAAGGGATCAGATTAACCTTTTTTTTTTTTTTTTTTTTTTTTTTTTTTTTTTAAACTGGAGATTAAACCGGGGCCCTTTTCACTAAACTGTATCTCCAGACCTTTTTTATTTTGAGATAGATCTTGCCCCATTGTTCAGGCTGGGATTGAACAATAACCCTCCTGCCTCAAGCTCCCAGAGTGCTAGCATCATAGTCAGTATCACCACACATGGCCTAACACAGGACTTTTAACATAAAAACATCTTGTTTCAGAAGGGTGAACAGAATTGCAGTGTTTGGAATATAATTCCAAGATGATTTAACATTTTAAAGACTCCTACTAAAAATAAATGTCTCTGAGTCAATTGAGTTGAATTTTTGTAGTAAATTGAGTCAGCCAGAATTCTTGACCTCTTATTATGATCAAAAGTTTGCTAGATCTTCATATTGACCTTGTTCTTTATTATTAGTCTGCCGTAATTAAATGATACTGACCGTGTTTATTTAAAATAATGTGGTTGGGCTGGTGAGATGGCTCAGTGGTCTAAAGCACCTACTTTGAACAAGCTTAGCAAAGCACAGGGACCGCCGTTCAATCCCCCAGCACCACATGCCAGCCAGCCCCGCCCCCTGGTGGGCTGAGCTGGCCACACACACACACACACACACACACACACACACATAAATGAATAAAATTTAAAAAAAAAATAAAATAGTGTGGTTAAGCAAAAAATAGATAAGTAATTGATGGCAATAAGAATCATAGCCAGATATCCTTCATGCTTGTCATAAATATTGATGCTTGCTTTGACTTAATATTTTCTTCCTTTGTCTAGAAAATCCACATTTTTATTATTAAGTATTTCATACAATATGATACACTTTAGGTATAAATGGTTATAAATCATTACTCCTGAATGCCTGCTTTATACGCCACTGACTGTAGGCACCAAGTCTAAGATCCACTAAACCACAGTTTGCTATTCCAGATGGCTCTTGCTCAATGTGACTTCTCTTCCTATGTAGATCAACCAACTTCCCTTTTTTTCTTTTGGTCTTATGCTAAATGAAATACAAAATTGAGATTCACACTACCAAAAAGAAACACAAGGAACACATTCACTGTGTAGGGAGAGTGTTACAAAACCTGCGGGTGAAATTTCAGCTTTCAGCATTGAAACCAACAGTTCACCTAAAATACTGGGTGTGTTAAGGAAGTAATTTTATTTCACTGTGGCAACGAGTATGTTTTCTAATAGAAAGAGCTTTTTAGAAGGAGATATTTATGTAAAACATAAGTCATTTTGTTTTCTGCTGTCATAGAAACCAAAAAAAATTATGCATGCTTTTTGGAGAACTGCTAACTTTGGATTGAATTTATTTTATTCATTTAGTTATCGTTTGATGTTCTTGGGTTTGGCTAGTCTTTATATTTCTTCGTGTCATTCATTCCGGCATCATCATAGATCTCTGAATCCATAACTTTAAAGTATCCATGGCACTTCACACAGAGGTTCATGAAGTACACGTGGAGTGCGGTATTTCCCCTGCTACTATTCCGCTTTCTGTCTTCAGTGATATCACAGAAAAAAACAAGCGCTGAACCCTTTCCCTGGGCTGAGGGGAAAGCAGGGTCTTTAGCCTATCAGGAACAACAGGAAGGTAGTTTACCTTAGATGCTGTCACACTTCCATTTCATTCTGTGACGCATCAGAGATTTCACCTGCTATCCAGGAAGGAAGGGGCATTCAGTTGAGCTCAGTGGTTACTTTGAGACTTTGCATTTATCGTTGTTCTTGTTGCCTTTGGCAGTTCTGATTTTTATTACCAACATTTAGTATTTTAAATATGACAGTTTTCATGAAAGGCCTCAAAATTGTGATTGGAAAGCTTGGCTATAGTAGCCAAGGGAACAACTTCAGAGCTTTATAATTTTTCTTAGGTGCCTGCTTCCATCATTAGCTGCTACTGTTGTGTTCAGCTGTCTTCCTATGTGCATTCTGTGGAACTGTGGCAAAACGTGGGGCTACTCTTCAGGTCTTCATAATTCTGCTAGTCTTTTTTTTTTTTTTTTTTTTTAACACATTAACACTTTATTTCCCTTAAGGCATTACTTATTTTTATTTTATTTTATTTTATTTTTTGGCATTACTTATTGAACTTTGTTTACAGTATTTTTGTGGTTCTGCTGAGTGCCTTGTAGCCCTCTGTCTCAGTACTTCTCGATTCTCTGCAGTTGTGTGAATCACAGTCATGAGTCATTGCCACTGGGATGGAGCCCAAGTCTCAAAAGCTCAAGTCTTGCACCTGATCTGATTCTGGCATGATTAAAATAGAAAGGCCTGGTTTTGCCAGTTTTCTCCTTTTACAACTCATGTATTTATCACTATTATGTCTTCTTTCAAGCTGTTTAGGAGCAGATCACCAACTCAGTCTCTAGGGGTCTACCTTTGCCCTATCCCCATACTGTCCCATTGTTTGTGTTTGCCTGTGTCACTTGTTTTGTACACTGTAGTTATCATGTGATCAGGCAACCTAAGTGTGAAAAAATCTCTCCTCCCTAATAGTAAGATTAGTAATGTAGATCAACAGCAGATTATTTAGAACTTCGAATGTGGTTTGAGTTTGGATTGTTTTCTTTAGGCAGTGGGACTCTTTGAGGCTTTTCAAACAGATGCTCTTCAGATGGTGTGAGATTATTGAATTACTGGGTTGTAAATGATAGAGGACAAGGAAGGTGGACTATTTGGAAGGAGCTGAGATGGGTCATCTGTGGGCCATGATTTGTCTTTGCCTCTTCTCTCCATAGTAGTTTTAAAGACAAAAGATAAGATATTGCCTTATAATAACTGAAAAAATAGAAATGGCATAATCTACTAATACACTTTCAGCTTCCTTTGAGCAAGTTTTGGGGCTGTGGTATGCTTCCTGGGTGATGGTAATGGGGTCCCAGTCTGCCTTCCCTGGGTGTGCACGTTTTTCTCCTCCCTGTGTGCCTCCTTTCTCCTGTGTAGTCTCATTTCCCTTAGCAGGGGTACAGGTGACTGGTCAGCTCGTCTGACCTTCAGGGGCTTCAGGAAACTATGATGTGGGTAATTCATTAGCAGTTCATTGACGTGAAGACAGGGGCCGCAAGAACAATCAAGATCAGGGGCCAGCAAGAAAGCTCAGCAGACTAAAGCCCCTGCTTAGGCAAGTGCAAGGCCTGCAGATCAAACCCCAGCACCACATGCTGGACCAGCCTCACTCCCATGGTGGGCTGAGCCTGCCAGAGTCTGGGCATAGTGGCACACACCTGGAATCCCAGCGCTGGAAAGGCTGAAAGCAGAAGGATCATTATGAGTCCAAGTTGCATAGTGAGACCCTGTAACAACCAAATGCATTTTTAAAAATAAGTAAAAAATAACAATCAAGAC